CTTTGTCCTTGGACAGAGTGCAATCAGGGGCTTCTCTGTCAAAGGACAGAGGGGCAACTGACGAACATTATACTGAAGAGGTGCCCAGCCCTGGGGAACAGCTGTCCAAGTTCGCGTCCTCCCATTGCACCAGAGGGAGGGATCGGTGCTCGCACCGAGGTCAGCGCAACCGTCGGTTGCGGGGACTGAGGGCAATTTTTCCCCTTGTCCCAGGCGTACGCGCTTGGATCCCTACCTAAAAAAGACCTTGTGTCACATCTCGTCCGAGTCGGGGGAAGGAGTTAATACTGCGAATAAATTACTATAAAGTAATTTGTACAAATTATTTATAATCTCTCAGTTGCGTTTCTGTCCTTGGACAGAGTGCGTTCAGGGGCTTCTATGTCAAAGGATAGAGGGGCAACTGAGGAAAATTATACTGTGAGGTGTCGCCCTGGGGAACAGCTGCCCGAGGCCGCGCTCTCTCATTTCACTAGAGAGGGATCGGTACACGGGGAATTTTTGTTCCTTGTCCGGGCGTACGCGCCCGGGCTCCCATATTAAACAGACCTTGTGTCATAACCTGACCTTGTGGTGGGGTGAGTAAATACAAATTACTATAAAATGGAGTTGGGACTTTTGAACCTCAGAATTCGTTGAATAATTGTGCTCCAATTTTCTCATTTTTTCATATACATTATGCACCTCCACTGAATTTTCGATACCTAAGTTTTAAAATTAACTTTTAAAAACGAAAAAGCATTCTTGAAGATTTCATTTTAGTTTTAATTGAAAGCTAAACGATTAAATTTATTATTTTCAGCAAGTAAAATATTCTGGTGTAGTTTAGATAGAAATTATATAGATTGTTATATCAAATAATTTTTAAAGCGGCCATTTTCTTAATTTTAAGAAATTTGTAAACAAACAAATTTATCGGTTTTGAAAATCTTTCAAAATTAAATTATAGATTTGTGACACGTTATTTGAGTAAAATTAGAAAATTTAATGTTAAATTAATCTGATTTGAAATAAATATTACTTATGGCATAAAAACCAATATACAAGCATTTCTTAACGATGGGTCCTCTCTTTCTTTAACCTTTATTGATTTATCGAGACGCTCTCAAGGTGATGACAGCTCTTATGGATGAGCAGAAATGACATAAATTTACGAAATCTAAGTGAACGCATTTTTTTTTAGTTTTTAAATATCTAGTAATTTTTACAAATTAACATATTCTCAGCAATTATTTAATATTTTATTGACTTTTAGTTAAGTTTTTAAGAAGCTTTATGAAATTTGCATTTCGTCTCTAGGTTCTTAAGTTTACTACCTTAAACAAAAAATTATTTACTTGAAATATGACCCACACTAAAATAAATACATAAAATAAAAGACTTTAATGACGAAACAGAACTGAATTAAAGGTGAAATAATTGCAGTGTGTCAAACGACACTTAAATTACATGACCTTTTTAAGGATTATGTCATGTACAGATTCCCATAGGTAGAAATTATGAACGATATCACCGCCGTCTTGAAAGCAATATAGAATTTTAAACGATTTTTGAACTATTCTATTATTATAATTAAAATGTAAAAAAAGGAAAAGATCTTGTAAAAAATTCATTGTTCAAAAAAAAAGAAAAAAAAAATTTCTTCAGAATATCATAGTTTTATTGCATTTTTTATTTTACAATTCAGAGCAGATTTTCGATGAAACGAGTAACTGCTTTACAAAAAAAAAAAAAAAAAAAAAAATTGATGATTTACTTTCTCCAAAGAGTCATGTTTTTAACTAATAAAAAAATCACCTCACTTAAAAATTTAATTTCTCGAAATTTCATGAAATTAAGTAAGTGGCTGGTAACATATGTAAAAAAACCGTTTTACCAAGATTTTCTAAAAAGAAAACAATTCAAAAATAGTTACATTCATTTCTTAATATGTCCTAAAAGTTTCAATAAAATCCGACAATTATCTGAATTTTGCAAGAATTTCCAAATCAATGTTTTTTCACTGGGAAAAGCGCGCGCGCAAAAAAACAAAAACAAAAAAAACAAAAAAAAACAAAAAAAAACTAATCTCTATCTTTGGTCCGCTGCTGACGTAAAAGAAAAGACTAAAATTACAAAGGAGTAAAAAATTTAAAAAAATAAGAAGAAAATCTTTTGGTCTTTCCTCTTAATAATAACATAAACATTTTGATGACAAAATTTTGTTTTTATTGAGTTTGGGGCCTTTTTTCATCATACTATGCTGTTTTTACACGACCAAGTGGAGGTACCTAAAGATTCCATAATATAGGTTTTGCTTATTTAGCTATAATGTTTCTCTAACTCTTCAATTGTTGAATGTATAACTAATTCTAATTTCTATTTTCCCATCTTTACAGTATATTAATTTTATCTTATAAATTGTCCCCTGTTCTCTCACCCACGAAATAAAATATTTGTTTGTATGGAAAATAAGGATCTACGTATATCAAATCGTCTTTAATTAAGTGGCAGCAGATGAATTATCGTTGAACTTTTAAAAGGTAAGCGTAAACATTAATTCAATATTTAAATACAGCGATCAGTTTTGAGTTCTTCTGTAGTTTATTGACGTCTATCGCATCTGCTTCTGTCTAGCTATTGTGATGAAAGCCAAACCAAGAATCGTCCACAGAAGCTAGCTTAAATGCCGCCCGATAGGGCGATTTTTAAGCTGGTTTATAATAAAACGTGCACTGCAATTTTGGATACTAAAAGAAAATAAGGGTTAATTCCCTTGAACCATGAAAGCAACGATAATGGCTAGTATAATATATTAATATATATTTTTAATCTCGCATAATCTAGCAACTCTGAATCTGAGCTCAACGAAAATCGTTCCCTGTGCTTAACTTTTCTAGGGCTTTTGATTGAGCTATGAATCATTGAAATCGGACAAGTGGGAGCGGATGAGTTGCTTGGATGCACACACGCACAAACACACACGCATACACTGTACTTTATATATAAGATGAAATATTCATGAAGATAATTTGTGTGCAAAATACTTTCAATTATATGATATATAAAGTTGTCTTTTGACAAAACTATATAGAGTAATTTTTTGTTAATCGCATTTTGGTTACCTATAAACTATGTTTTTGAGTCGCCACTAATTACGGAAAACTTAATACTGTAAAGGATATGCGGGTAGGGTAACGGTTATCGTTGCCGAAAGTAAAATCGACAAGTTGAGTTCATGTTCCATCTGAATCTTTTGCGTTAACATTCGCACTAATGCCCTTGGAAAAGGCATGAATCCATTTCTCTACCCCCATCGCCAGCTATGAGTTAAATATCAAAGTAGACAAGGCGCTCTATTTTGTTTCGAAACTACGTACCGACCGTAGGTTTTAAACTTTATCTTGTGTCACATTTTGTACGAAGTAGGCATAGAAATAAATATCGCCATTCATAACATTTATTCCTTTGAAAATACATTATTGTCTTCATTTATTGAAATCGGCAAGCAGAGTTCGAATTCCAGTAAGGGTTCGTTTGATTCACTTACGCGCAAATACAGTTGGGTAAGGTACGAATCTATTCCCTCCCCTCAGGACTTGTATCTGAAACAGTCATTCATATCTTCAAAGATTGTTAACGCAAAATTCACTCTCAAAAAAAAAAAAAAAAAAAAATATATATATATATATTCTCATAATCCAAATTATGCTTGGGCTTTAGATAACACACAAAAGGGTTGATAAGCCGTAAAAACACAAATCAATCTTTCAATCATTTATTGGACGGCCAGAAAGTCATTCATTAATATAATGTGCTCAAGCTTTAGGAATCTGTCCGCCATGCCATACTTGTCCTTCTAGAGGGCGCCATGATGATTATCTGGAGCTTAAGATGTTCCTGTAAAAGGAAGTGTCAGAAGATGTAGAGCAATTTGGGTTCCTAGTCCTAATACCACTTCAAACTCCGTCTCGAGTCACCTTCCGTTTGAGTGGGCGTGCGGATTAACCCTCTTCTTTTATATGTCATGCCCTTGCAGGACATAGGCGACCATGGCTCTCCACAAATTCCATTTTTTTTTCACCCTTTACCATCCTTATTTGTTCTTGATCTCTAATTCATTCCCCAAAACTCAGTAAATAGGCTACTCGTTTCTTCTCTTGCCTTCAATATATTGATTATATTACACTATATAGTGACGTCACATAATTTAGGGAAACGACCACAAGTTTTTGTATATCGTCAGCAGTCATTTTCATATTACTAATCGTCATTTTCTGTTCTATTTTATTTATTCTAGTTTTATTTTTTATTGTTCATTTTATCTGTTTGTTTATCTATTTATTGTTCATCTTTATGTAATGTCGTTGCTGTCAGCGCTGATACCGCATTTCGTGCGCTGATATCACTAATAAAGCGCATTTATCATGTATGTCATTTGGCAGGCATCTTTATGGCTGCTTATAACAAGAGTTGATTTTCCTTGAAATATGAGTGCAGGGTACGCGGTGCTGTGTTCAAGGGCAGGTTTTCTTGCAAGAAAAAAAATTAACCACGTCATTTCTGGTTTTGTCTGATTTTTTACTTTTAAGATTTTTTCGTTCCTTTTTCACTAGCGTTTTTTAGCCAATGAATTCTTGATTTTTATCGTCTGTCATCTATCATTTTTTTCGCATATTTATTTCTCTACTTCTGTTTCCTTGCTTTTTGACACCTTCCGTGTTCAACTCTTCTTTTTCTCTTGTGTTTCTTTGTTGATATTTATTAATATACATTGTGTTGTATCGTACTTCTAAGGTAGGAGGGCCTTCATACTTGCCGCGAAAAACTTCATATTTTTCTTTATCTGGGCTATAAAACCGAATACTAGCACCTGGAAATATATGGTTACCTCAGCCTTTTCTGTCTCCGTTTATTTTATTTTGCTAAGGAGCCACAGTTGTGGTATACGCAGTGAGTATCGAAGTCGTTACATTTTATTTTGTGTTGTTCATTCTCTTTTATGTTTTCTTGTATGTTTTATGTTTTTATTCTTTTTATCTACAATTTGTCCTTTTCATTTTTCCTTCTTTCTCTCCTTTCATTTTTCCTTCTTTCTTTTCATTTTTTCTTCTTTCTTTCCCTTCTTTCTTTTCCTTCAATTTTCCTTCAATTTTTCTTTCTTTCCCTTCAATTTGCCTTCTTTCTTTTATCTTCATTTTCCTTTCTTTCTTTCTCTACAATTTTTATTCTCTCTTTCTCTACAATTTTTCTTCTCTCATTCCCATCAATTTTCCTTTTTTCTTTCTCGTCAATTTTCCTTCTTTCTTTCACTTCAATTTTCCTTGTATCTTTTTCTTCGGTTTTCCTTCTTTCTTTCCGTTCATTTTTCCTTCTTTCTTTCCACTGAGTTTTCCTTCTTTCTTTCCGTCAATTTTCCTTCGTTTTCTCTTCAATTTTCCTTCTTTCTTTCCCTTCAATTTTCTTTCTTTCTTTCCCTTCTGACTTTCCCTTCTTTCTTTCCTTTCTTTTTTCCTTTCAATTTTCTTTCTTTATTTGTCTTCGGCCTTCTCTTTGGTTTTCCTTCTTTCTTTCCTTTCATTCTTTCCCTTCAATTTTTCTTCTTTCTTTCTCTTTGGTTTTCCTTCTTTCTGTCCTTTCAATTTTTCTTCTTTCTTTTCCTTCAATTTTTCTTCTTTATTTCCATTCAGTTTTCCTTCTTTCACCCTCTTCATTTTCATTGCTTTCTCCCTCTTCATTTTTCTTTCTCTCTCTTTGGTTTTCCTTCTTTCTCTTCATCTTTCCAATTTTCTCTTTTTTCATTTTCGCTTCTTCCTCCTCATTTTTCTTACTTATTAAAAAAAATGATCTCCACTTCTTATACACCGGTTTATATCTACCTTTATCAAATTATCCCCCCCCCATAAACTTACTCCACATCTCAAGCACATGTCACGAAAAGATTCTTTCTTCCTTGAAATTATTCTCCCATATTCTTTTTTATTTGCATACATATTTATATCAAAATTTATCAGCCTAGTATATATCTCTTCAACTTTTAACTTCCTGTCGCGAAACGATCTTCCTCACCCTCATCCTTATCGGGCTCCGTTCTGCATCGTTTATCCTCTAGTAGCCGAAGCTGCAACCCACTTCACTTAAGGATTTCTTCAAAAATATTAAGTGGAGCCTCTCGTCAATGTGGCTTGCTCTTGAACACGAGTGCAGCAGTCGGAGTTGGACAATAAGAAGAAAGACAGAAATATGAGTATTATCTGAATGCAGCTGAGTTTTATGAAGGGGACTTTGATTTATAGCTACACGCCAGGCGCATCAAGTGGTGACCTTTGTCTGGACTAGTGGACGTGAAGGTAATCTTTGCCCCCCCCACCACCAAAACAAAAAAAAAACAAACAAAAAAAAAAAAAAACACCTACTTACGAGTGGGTAAGACGAGGAAAAGACAAGTAGGCGTTGACACGTGCAGCTGACATATACGCGTTCACACTCACACGTGCCTTGACAACTTGTATAAACACACACACATACATATATACATACGTAAGATCTATGTACCATGTCACTTCAGGACGTGGGTGATCATGGTTCTCCACAACTTCTTATTCTTTGTAGCTCTTAACGATATTTGTCTTTTTTTAACAATCTCTCCCACTTCCTGTTTTTTCAATCTATTTATGCAAGCACATCAGGTATTTTTTCCCCTCTGTCTTTCCCTATTGACTTTAGTTTGTCTTATGAGCGCCAAATTTTCCATGCCTCTTTTTTCTTCAAACTTTCAGCTGTCTCTTTCTAGAAATTTCATTTTTGATTCCAAGTATAAATATCCTTTTTGTTTCAATTTTCCTTAACCGCCCACCTCGTTGCTTACATTCTCCATCCCTGCTATTCTCAACATCCTTCTGTAGAACTACATCCCCGTTTCCTCAAGACTCCTCTTTATCTGTGATGAAATTGTCCAGCATTCACTTCTATATTGGTGAACTGATGTTACATAGCAGTTCGACACTCTTTTTGTTTCAAATGAAAATTTCCTGTTTCTTAAAACTTTAAGATTCTGGAAGCATATTCCGTTATTCTAATGTGCCTTCGGATTTCGGTGCCACATTTTTTATCTCTTTAAAAAAAACCGAGCTGATTAAGAGTTCTGGAAACTTAAGCTACGAAATGCAAGAAAAGATAACATTTGAGAGAAAATAAGGTATTTTATTTCTTGATAAAGTGATTTCGCAAACTGGGAAATGTTGGATAACTTAGACGAACAGATCGATCCCCCTGTCTAAAAACATGGATTTCTTGCACCAATTCATAAATACATACATTCTACCCCACATCAGTCATATGCACACCTGCCTGGAAATTCATTTGTCCGAAATTACGCAAGTATGCATTCACACCGACATGTCATCCCATTCGTACATTTTAACATATATCCATAGATTGCTCATTCTTACATATTTTATTTTTTCTAATCATTTCACCCAAAGCAAAGCAATGAATCCACTAAGACGCAAGGGGTTGCTGTGTGTTAGAGAATATGAAAAAGAAAAGAAAATACTTTTAACTGGCGAGAACAATAAAAGAACAAAAATTAAGAAGACAATAGATAACGATTGGCAGTGGATTTATATTTTTGAAGATCAAAGTTGACTGGGAAGCAAGAAGCCGGAAGAGAGTTCCACATGCTAGAAGTGCAATGGAAGGAACTGTTAGCATAGAACTTACTGTTATATCTAGCTATTTCAATTGTAAAATCATGAGACCTTGCCGCCAATCTCGTACTGCGCTCAAATTCATAAAGTCTAGATACCATAGAGGAAAGTTCATCCGAACAATTACTATGAAAGTATTTAGAGAAAAGGTATAGGGAAGCTACATTACGGCGGTGGGAAAGGGACTGAAAACAAGATGCCAAGTCGAGACCAATAATATTGCAGATTCTTCTTTGGATTTTATCAAGAATTATGATGTTTTAATGTTAATATGTCAACGTCTAATAAACCATCTTCAGAACAAGACTTATCTAAACAGATAACTGAAAGTTTTATAAGATCAGCGCTCCGTTTAAAACATGGTCACCGCTGATCTTATAAAACTTTCAGTTATTTGTTTGGATAAGCCTTGTTCTTATGTACATCGTCTTTTCATGTTGCATTGATAATGTTATAATTTATGAATATGTCCTGAAGATGGTTTATTAGACCGAAACGTCCGACGTGGACATATTAACATTAAAAACAGCATAATTGTATATAAGGATTTTGTTTGTTTTTTTCCGTATATATTTTTTTCTTCATATATATATATATATATATATATATATATATATATATGTATATATCACTAGCTTAAATGCAAACACGAAAAATGTTAGAAAGTAAAATCCATCGATACTGGAAAGAGCGATAACAATGAACTTGAGAAAACTATTTTCCTGGAAAATTGTTTTAGGAGAAAGATTTTATACATTTCAGCCGACGGTAGCACCGGCTGCTCGGTCAATGAATGCCGAATATTTCCTTATAAGGAAACGGCTAATATTGCTATTCGAACAGATATTACACTTTGATCTCCAACCAACTAAATTGTAATCCGAAGGTGCGAGGTCACGTGAGTACCTTGGGTGTAGCAGAACATCCAGCCAAGCTAGTAATTTCTGACGAGTCTGTGAAGAGGTGTGGCGTTGTCCTTGTGGAAAACGACATCCTTACGATTGGTCAATTCCGGACACATTTCATCGATTGCTGCCTTTAACAGGTCCACCTAGTACATGCCTGAATTCAACGTGTATCATTTTACAGAAGGATCTCGTAATGCTCAATGATCTTCCAGTCCCATAACTTGCTTTTGACGCTGACCAGTTTTTACATGGGTTAACGGTGACTCATTTCTTCTTCCCTAGGACCTTTTTCGTTACATGTTGTTGTAAACAATCCCTTTTTCCATCATCTTTTCAAAAGGGGTTGTTTTTTTAGCGTTTTGGCAAAGAATCACAAATAGAAAGGAGTTCCATTTAAATTATTTCCGTTAACTATTGAGCAACCTAAACATTGCTGTAATTTACATGTCCTGGTATTTTCAAATGTCTTACAGCACTGATATGAGATATGGCGATTTTCTAAGCGTAGCTTAGATGTGGCACCAGACAGAAGGTATTGGGCGCCCAGTGAGGATCGAACTCACTATTCAGTTGTAATTGATCTAGCGAGACAAGCTTGCTAACCATTACACCACGTGGAAGTACCCAATGATATGAGATGTGTGGTGTATTTCTGCGATGTCCCGTGTTGTGTGACCTGGATTATTTCTAGTCAGCATTTTAATTTGGTTATCATCGACAACTGTTGACCTGCCAGAATGTTCTCGGTCTTCCAGATCAAAATTTCTACTTCTGAATATTACTCTCAGCTACAGCACTATCTACATAAACGGCACATATATATTTTCGCTGTTTAAGCAATATTTTTTGTTTTCCTCTCATTTAACTTTAAAATTTACAATGCAGCCACAAATTGTATAGAGCGATGCCATTGAAATGTCACCTTTCAAAACATGCATATACGAGGTCTGTCTGAAAAGTAACGGAATTTGTGTCACAAACATTTTATTTAAATTCTAAACAATAGACTAAATGGTTCCCCTTCAAAGTAACCCCACCTCGAGTCTAATGTAGTTTTCTATCTTTCTCTGTTATGCTTCTATGTGCTGCTAGAAGGATTCATCTTGGATGGCCCTCAGCTCCGTCGTTACGGCTCTCTTGATGGCCTCCACGCCTTCAAAACGGGTCCCCTTGAGGACCCTCTTGAATTTGGGAAAAAGAAAAAAGTTACACGGAACAAGATCAGGTGAATAGGGAGGTTGTTCCAGTACGGCAATGTTCTTCTCGGCCAGGAACTGCCGGATGCTCAGGGCATTGCCAGCACGTGCATTGTCGTGGGGAAACAGCCACAGTTTGTTCTGCTACAAAAGCATGTGGAAAAAGAAGGCAATGGTTGCAGTAAGCTAAGATTGCAGTTATATACTCTCAAGATATCCTCTGTCACCCATAGGTCACACAGCACACCCAGTCCCGTTAGACCTTGGATGTCATACATTTTAATTACGTGTGAAATTAAATCACGTATTTAAATGCGACCTATTGTAAAACGCTTCAAACTTTTGTTCCAATGCAATATATTTCACTGGGGATCGGATACTTATCGAAATTTACTAATTGTGCAAATAAAGTTATATTGTCTTTTATTTAGTATTAATTCATGTATTAAACGTTTTCTTTCTTTCTTTTTTAATAACATTAATTAAGTAGATAAATGTTGTCAAATTAAGTTCGGAATGAGTAATTAGAAAAACATAAGGAAAATAACTTTGGGATCGAATATTTTTTAGTGAGCGTACGCATACAAGAACGCGCATGTGTCTTCTAAAAAATGAAAAAAAAGTATTATTAATTTTTAATGCTTTTTTTTCTAGCATCTTATTTTACTGATTTTTTTCTTTATTTAAACGCTCAAATTGTCTTTTTTACTTATTCTACGATCGTCAAATAAACAGCCTGGGTCGGAATAATAAGCCAAAATGAAGATTAATAACAATAACAATGTTTTATCTAAGAAATTCAAACTATTTTAAGACTTATAGAAAAAGCATATTTTTTTCATAAAGGTTCAATTGATTGATTGATTCGTTTTCTACGACTAATCAACCCTTTGATAAAAAGTATATACGGGAATCGGTCGAAAGTAATGCCTAATTCAACTGCAAAATTATTTCTTAGATTTGCTGCTTTTTTTTTTACTAAAAGCTAAAAAATATTTTTAAATTGTAAGATTTTCTTTTATTTTTTGAGATAATAATAATTTAGTGATACAAGCCTTAATAATTAACCCATAGCTGGAGGAGAAAAGGAGGA